TACATTGCCACATCTTACCCAAAATTCACAGTTTACATTAGGTTTCACTTTTAATTGTACATTCTGTGGGTTTGAACAAATATATAATGACCTGTTTCCACCATCATGGAATCATATAGAGTAGTTTCACTTACTTAAAAATCCTGTGTTCTACCTGTTCTTTCTCTCCTCTAACCTGTAGCAACCACTGATTTTTTTACTGTTACCATAGTTTGGCCTTTTCCAGAATGTGATATAGCTTGTATCATACAGTATGTAGCCTTTTGAGGTTGGCTTCTTTCACATAGTAATATGCATCCAAGGTTTCCCATATCTTTTCATGGCTTATAGCTCCTTTCTTTTTAATGCTGAATAACTCTTTGAGTGTATCACAGTTTATTTATCCATTCACCAGTGGAAGGACATCTCGGTTTCTTATAAATTTTGGAAATTATGAATAAAGTTGCTTTAAGTATCTGTGAGCAGGTTTATGTATGGACATAAGTTTTCATCTCCTTTTGGTGAATACCAAGGAACATGATGGCTGGATCATATGGTAAGAATATGTTTAGTTTTATAAGAAATGGCCAAACTGTCTTCCAAATTGACTGTACTCCAGCCATGAGAGTTCCTGTTGTTTGACGTTCTTACCAGCATTTGATGTTATCATTGTTCGGTATCTGGGCCATTCTAATAGATGTACAACAGTTTTAATTAGCATTTTCCTGATGACATATGGTGTGGAGCACCTTTTCATATACTTATTCACCATCTTTGGTCTTTGGTGAGGTGTCTGTTAAGGGTCTTTGGCACATTTTAAAATTGAGTTGTTATCTTACTGTTGAGTTTAAGAGTTCTTTGTATATTTTGGCCCACAGTCCTTTATCAGGTATGTCTTGCAAATATTTTTCTCCCAGTCTGTGGCTGATCTTTTAATTTTTTAGACAGTGTCTTTTTCAGAGCAGAAACATTTTAATGAAATCTAGCTTTTTTAGTCTTTTTTTTTTTCATGGATCCTGCCTTTGGTGTTATATCTAAAAGGTCATTTCCATATCCAGAGTCATCTAGATTTTCTCCTATGTTATCTTCTAGGAGTCTTATAGTTTTGTGTTTCACATTCAGGTCTGTGATCCATTTTGAGTTAATTTTGTAAGGTTTATGTCTAGATTCATTTTTTTTTTCTTTTGCATGTGGACGTCCAATTGTTTCAACACCATTTGTTGAAAAGACTGTCTTTGCTCATACTGCCTTTGCTCCTCTGTCAAAGATCAGTTGACTATATTTATAGTATGCTTCTGGACTCTCTGTTCTGTTCCATTTATTTATTTTTCTGTTCTCTTTCCAATACCACACTGTCTTGATTACTCTGGCTTTATAGGAAGTCTTGAACTCAGGTAGTCTCAGTCCTCCAACTTTGTTCTTCAATATTGTGCTGTCTTTTGTGGGTCTTTGCCTCTCCGTATAAACTTTAGGATTAATTTGACAATATCCACAAAATGACTTGTTGGTATTTTGATTGGGATTGTAGTGAATCTGTAAATCAAGTTGAAAAGAACTAATTAGGGGCACCTGGGTGGCTCAGTCGTTAAGCGTCTGCCTTCAGCTCAGGTCATGATCCCAGGGTCCTGGGATCGAGCCCCGCATCGGGCTCCC